GTGAGCAACTATTAGGGTGAAAAGAAGCTTGACATTTTTTTACTCATTCAATTTCCTGACTTTTAGATAAAGGAATCACATTTTAGAGAGGAGAAAATATTTGTCCAACCACAGCTAGCAAATGACAGAGACAGACCTAGAGCTCAAGTTTCTTTCTAGTCCATTGTGAAAACTGTAGCCTCTCTCTTTTGCATGTTTTAGAAAAATCTTGATGTTTCTTGGTCTCAGTAAGCTTAATCGTGCTCTTCTGTTACTTCAGTACAGAATTTTCCATACCCCTGGGAGTTCTGTTCCAGACCAGTAGAGTACAGTTTAATAACTCCGACCTTCACATTTATGAAAGCGTCAATTTAGGAAGTGATAATAGAATGCTCTAAAAGTACTGCTACATCTTCAGCAATCACTTAACCTCCCCTTGTGCACCAACAGAAAAGATGGCTAATTATGTCATCCCAAATGAATGCAATGTCCTGAGCCTAAATTTGAGTTATCTTGATGTTGGATGTTGGCCCATCCAACCAGGTGTCAGTATTTGTCAATTTAACAAATTTGTTGTCTTGGATACACAACCTTAGAGACTTGTTATATAGTGAAGTCTTTCATGTGAAGCCTGTCTGTACCTAGATTTACTCCTTTCCAGAAAACAAATTGGGTTGGGGTATATTTTATAAAGATGGCATATCTCATGTGGTCTTCTTGAAACACGAAGTTAGCTTTTCTTCATCGAGGGTGAGATCTGTATTCCCTCCCCTTGAGTCTGAGTGAGCCTGTGGCTAATACAGAAGTGGCACTATGTGACTTCTATGGTACAAAATGCCATAGGGCTTCTGCATGGTTCTCTTGTGGCTTCTGTATTACGAACACAGCTGCCATGTTAGGAGGAAGCCAAGAAGCCAAGGGTCAGGCTGCACGTGGGTGCCCCAGCCATAGCCCCAGCTGATGTGAGTGGACCAGAGAGGCACTGTTTCTGCCACGCCCTGCCCAAATTACAAAATACAGATTGTCATTTTTTTTTTGAGTGCCACGTTTTAAGATAGTTGGTTGAGCAGCAAAAGGTAACTGGAACACGGATCAAGGTAGCCTTTCTGGAATCTGTGTATGGGGTGGTAAGAAGAGAAGAGAAAACCTGTCAGGTCAGTACTTTGATGCTGAAGACTGTTTTGTCATCGGAGCATCGTATATCTCCAATCCTTCTTGATCCAGGAAAAAAAAAAAGGAATTTCACTCAGATGCTCTCATCTGGGAAGGAGATTTCCTACTTGAGTGCATTCTCTCAGCCATTCTCTCCTCTGAGTATCCCATCTGGTCAAGTGGCCCTGTTTCCTTTACTTTAGGACACTTGTGTTCTGGCCCTGACACATTGTGGAGGTTCCTGCAGAGGATCGCTTCTCCTTTGATAACTTATTTATTTTCTCTGGATCTGTTTGATCCTTATTATTATCATTATTTTTTTTGATATAGAGTTCATTGAACACAATCCCTCTTTTTCTCTTTCAAGAAGTTCAGGAGTGGGGCTTCCCTGGTGGCGCAGTGGTTGAGAGTCCACCTGCAGATGCAGGGGACGCGGGTTCGTGCCCCGGTCCGGGAAGATCCCACATGCCGCCGAGCGGCTGGGCCCGTGAGGCATGGCCGCTGAGCCTGCACATCTGGAGCCTGTGCTCCGCAACGGGAGAGGCCACAACAGTGAGAGGCCTGCGTACCGCAAAAAAAAAAAAAAAAAAAAAAGAAGTTCAGGGGTGATGTTGAAAAGGAGTTGTGTGGGGAAAAAAAAAAAAACTGCCAGAAAAATGCCAGTTGCATTGTAGAACCCATCAAAAAGGTCAGAGCCACACCATACATTGTTACACGTCACTTAGGTAATGTATTCAGCTCTTCTGCCTTATTTTTTCTAAGCATGAACTTTAATGAGAATGGAAAGGGCAACACAAGAATCATTTCTCCTCACAAGGATTGTAAGGAGAGAGAGAGAGAGAGAGAGATGAGGCAGTATGTACCTTTCTGATGAATATTTACCTGGTGGGCTGAGATCCTTTGGAGCCCCAGGCCTCTGATATTCTTCATCCTCTCAAAGACTCTGAAAAGCTCACGTCCTATTACTTAATGACTAGAAGCTGTAGAATTATAGTAAAGTACAACATGAATCCTAGTATCCAATGTGAAAGAAAGGAGAGGTGAGTATCTGAATATTAATGTCTTCCTGAAAAATAATAAGAAACACTTCTGTTGATTCCTCTAGAGAGGGCTTAAAGGGGTGTCTTTGTGGACCATGGGGTTAGTGTCTAGGAGAAACAGAGAAGAAACAAATTGAAATGGTGACCTTGGCCACAGACAGATTCAGCCACAAATTCAAGTTCATAGGATGAAATCAGCGTTGCTCATGGATGAATGCCCATTCCCAGAGTGGATTCTAGCCTGCTGTTTGGAAAATTTTAAAAATGTTTACACCAAGGGAGAAATTTAAATAAAATACCAGTTAGGAGAGACTCCTTTGATGCATTGGAAAACATTATTGGTCTGAGAGTCTGACAGCATGCATCAGGGTCTGGTCCTCAGATATTAGCAGAGAAAACAATAATAAAAGTGAAAACTATAAAAAAAAAAACAAAACATGGCCATCCATTGAGCATTTATTATGTAAAAGGCATGGGACTAAGCACCTTGTGTACATTGTTACATTTAATTCTTACTAACCCTATGACAATGGTATTAGTGACACTCAGAAGTAGAGGAAGACTGAATAATTTGATACAGGTCACACATATAGGAAGTGGTAGACCTGGAATTTAAACCCTTTCTAGGGGATTCCAGAGCCAGTTATTGTGCACTATTCACATTTAATGAGCGGAGTGGGCCTGAGGCAAATGATTGCCCTCTCTGAACCTAAGTATACTTCCTCACCTGTAAAATTAGGAAGCTCATTGCTCTGTGTCCTCCAGGTTTGCATTAGTTTCCTATTGCTGCCATTAAAAGGTTACCATATATTTGCTAGCTTAAACAATACACATTTATTATCTTATAGTTCTGTAGTTTGGAAGTCTGATACAGGTCTCTCTGAGCTTTAGTTAAGGTGAAGGCAGGGCTGGTTCCTTTTCGAGGCTCTGGGGGAGTATCTACCCCCTTGCTTTTTCTAGCTTCTAAAGGCCACATGCACTTCCGGGGCTCAGGACCCCTTCCTTGCATCACCCTAGCCTCTTGTTTTCATCCTCACATCTTCTCCTTCCTCCTTTGACTCCTGCTGCCTCTTGTAAGGGCCATTGTGATTACATTGGGCCCACCTACATTATCCAGGATAATCTCTCCCATCTCATGACCCTTCATTTAATCATACCTGCAAAATCTCTTTGCCAAGTGTGATGACATTCATAGGTTCTGGGGGTTAGGACTTAGACCTACCTGGGGAACCATTTTGCAACCTACCACAAGCTCTGATTTTTTTTTTTTTTTTAATAGGCAAAAGTGTCATAAAAGTCTGTGCCTGACACTTGTAAGATCGTGTGGAGTTTTTTTTTTAGCTGCCCCTGTATCCTGCCTACATGCTGGACCCTCTCTTCCAGCAGGGGTAACTTTCAGCCCAGGATTGCAACTTCATATGCCTCTTGTCGCCCAATATATTGTCCCTCTCTCTGGCCCCTTTTTTTTTTTTAACTTCATTCTTGTGTTGAGTGATCGTTTGTGCGGGATCACTCTCAGTGTCGTGCCTGCGTCCTTAACGTAGACACCCTTTTCCACTATTGCAAGCATTCTCTCTCCTGTCCAGTTAACACGCCTGAGTTCTTCTTTCATCCATGTCATCACTGCAAATACTACAAATTCTGCAGAAGCTAATGACTACTGGCCAGATGCAGAGTTCTGCCACCATTAGAAGCTGACATGTTTAATGAGAATTATCAAAAGTGCTTCATGCTCATTACCTAAGACTTACCCCGTCCCTCCCCTAAAAATAGCAAAATGGTCTTCTCTTCTCAGTGATTCTGTTTCAGCCTGTAATTGATCTGTAAACTTCCTTGTAAATGACAGGTTTTTTTCCCTGTTTTCTGCTGGGAATATTGATCTAGTATTAACTTATAGGAAGAGCAGACAGTAGTCACATATGCTGAAGCCAGTGGTATTTTTCCTGTTTCTTATAGATCATGAGAGAAATAGCACTCAGTTACGAACTTTTGGTGATTCTTTTGTAACTGCTGTATTGCTGAAAGTAAACGAAACTCACATCTGCCATTCTTTGTATATGGTTTGCCACTTGTTCCACACGATTAATATTAAGGGACTTTTCACTCATATCCAACTTTGAATTTATATATATTTTTCAAAACATGCATTAGTCTTTTTAAATTGACTTCAGTGTCTAATTATTGCAAAACATTGGTTTTATCTTAAGATAGACGTTTTAAATAAGACCCAAATGGAAAATTGAGAAAGAATCTGTTATTTATGAAGCATTCACCAGGCAAACGGCTAAGCATTTAAGACTGGTTATCGTTTAAAGCAAATTAGAAATAATCAGCCAGAAATATTTTTTAAATGCAATGAGTATTCAACTATGTATGTAAGTGAACTTTTGAGCTTGTTTTTCTTGTATTTCATCTTTTAAATGTATTTATTATTTCTTGAAATGATTCTTTATTGACCACAGTTTAGTGTTTGATGGACACTAAAATAACAACAACAAAGCTTAATATTTTCTCTTGAAAATAATGCATTTGATTGTTATTCCTTAAAAGAGAGGACAAAGTAGAATAAAATATTTTAAGATATTAAAAAATTGAGCTGTTCAAAGGGGGAAGCAGGTTGTCTTCCCACCTTCCATAATTAGCATTCGCAGACCATCGTGATGACTTGCCCAGGAGTTTCAGGGGGCATCTCGGTGGAACCTATTACACAGCAAGGCTACCTCCTAGCTACCTTGCTCATCACCGGGTCTCCAGACCATTACCCGGGAAGCAAGAGATAGAAGGAAACTCGTTTAACTCTAAAATCTGTCTTTGTCTTGTCTTCACCAGGCAGCGCAGGCACCCCAGTCATGTTTAACAAGAATGGGGACGCCCCTGGGCGTTACGACATCTTCCAGTACCAGACCACAAACACCAGCAACCCTGGTTACCGCCTGATCGGACAGTGGACAGATGAACTGCAGCTCAATGTGAGTTTTGCTTGTTCCTCTTCCTTTGCTTTTGTGATGAATGAACAGGCTTGTAATATGCTCCCTGAGGCAGACGTTTCTTGTCTGTATGTTTGTGAGCATCCGCAAGTGAACATTCAACTTGTTACGGGCATCAGCAGGGACTGATGACCAATAATAATACAGCAATGATAGCAATGATGATGGCGCGGATAGGAAATGTGTGTGGAGTTCATGCCTGACGTTATACTCGGCAACTATGTGAATCATCTCGTTTAATCTGAGGCTCTGATTGCTTTACAGACAAGTTACCAGCTCATACCTTAATACTTTGAGGAGATCTTAATCTTGGTCAAATTACTTTTCCCTTCTGTTCTTCCTTCCTTCCTTATTTGCTGGTGTATTTTTTTTCTTTTCTTCTTTTTTTTTTTTTTTTTTTTTTTACTGAGTCACTTTGGCTTATACTGAGAATCTCTGGGTAACATCAGTGTTAATTTCCATAACCACTCCTTCTTTCTGTAAAGCATGACCTTGAGTGAGCAAGCACTTCCTTGTGCAAGGTTATATCAAAGTTCAGTAGTCAGAGCCCATTAGGAAGTCATCTGTAGTCAAACACAGTTAGGTTTCTTTAACTCGCTGCCTGAAAAACAAGCGCCCGCCACCAAAGCTTCTTCAGGATGTAGGAGTTCAGATGGGATTCACTGTAGAGTTTGGGCTGAGTTGGGTGTTTCTAAGAAGGTTTCAGGAAGCAGGGATCAGTTTTGGGTTAGGTCATCTTAGGCAGTAGAGACAATTTGATAACTCAGTGTCTTGGTGATTTTGATCTAGGAGGCGGGACAACAAGAGCTGGGCAAGAATTGTCACTAACAAAAAAACAGTAGACACTTATGTGAACTGGAAAAGGGAGATGTTGAGTTATTTTTGTGGTTGCAGAGCATCCTTGTTTCTGTCTAATTTCACACATGATGGCAGAGTGACCTTGTTTTGTCTTGTTGCACCATCATAATGGAGTGGCCTCTTGTGATTAGCATTTACATCCCCCTGAAGTGGTTCTGTTTGGAATATGCCTGCGTAGGTGTTAGCTGACAGCTTTCCAACCACCTTTTTAAGTTTTTTTTTTCACTTTTTTAATATTTCAGGTTCAACATTCAATAATGTGCTTCTAATAATACTTACAATGCCCTATTTGAAATTAATGGTTAGTTTAAATGAATATACCCAGTCTTCCCAGGGAAGAAAGAACACACGGGCTAGGGTCCCTCCACCCTGGCTGGGCCCAGCACAGCTGGAGCTCAGCACACCATGCATCCCCTGCTTGTCTTCCCCTCCTGGGAGGGAACTTAAATAGGCCAGGCCTGAGCCTGGTGGCTGAGGTCCTGGAGCCTGGGGGTGATGGCAGAAGTCAGAGTAGTAGGCGTGCTGCAGGACCTCTTCTGCTGAGATGTGCTGGACCGTTTACACTTCAAGAAGTTCTACAGCAGGTCTTTTGATGTGGCATCAAGCTTGAGTATGACATTCACCAGGGATATTGTGGACAGGTATATTGGGTAAGGCTTATAAATCAGGTAGGGCTTGCCAAGGTCCACAGATCTACTTTGAAATAGTAATATATACAAACACGATTTTCTTGTGTCCGGCAGGGCCCTGCATTATTATGTGTTCTCCAGAGAAACAGAACCAATAAGATAGATAGATAGATAGATAGATAGATTGATTGATTATAAGAAATTGGCTCACAATTCTTATGAAGGCTGAGAAGTCCCAAGATCTGCACTTGGCAAGCTGGAGACCCAGGAGAGTTAATGGCTCCAGTCTGAGTGTGAAGGCAGCAGAAGACTGATGTCCCAGCTCAAAGATAGGCAGAGAGAAAGAGGATTCTCTCATATTCAGACTTTAATTCTGCTCAGCCCCTCAGATTATCTGAGGCACGCATACACTGGTGCGTAACTGCTTTACTCAGTCACCAAGTCAAATGTGTATCTCATCCAGAAACTCCCTCACAGACAGACCCTGTATAACATATAACAAATACTGGGGCACCCCCGTGGCCTCATCAAGTTGATACATACAAAGAACCATCACAGGCCCTATCCCAGAAAAGTCCTTCTAATATCTCTTCCAAACCTGGAAATTATGCCATTAGCCTTTATTGGTGTACACCTTAGGAGGCACTTTGGAAATGATTGAGATCAGGGCTTTTTGAGAGTAGAATGCAAAATTGATGTCTTGGGGGCAGTAGAGCTTGGGTCATGATTTTTAGAAGGAAGGATTGTGCATAAAGGGGGGGTTGATGAAGCCATGACAGGATGTTTACCTCCTTTGTACATTGTCCTGCGTGGCTCTGCTTGTATCTGTATCACCATCCCAGTGAGCTGACAGGAAGATTATTCTGTTTGGTTTGTATTTTAAGCTTTATACGAATTGTATCTTATTAGCCATTCAACAAGTAGGTTTTTTTGTTTGTTTGTTTGAAAGCACCTGTCATGTGATAAGCATTGTGGGAGGCAGTATGTACACAGTGGAAATCGAAATAAACATGGTCCCTGTTTGCACATAATTGAACATCTAGGGCAGAGTTACACGGTAAACAAGAGATATGTGTGTGAAAATTCCCAAGTGTGGTAAGAGGCAGGGCGGGAGAAGGAATAATGGAGGTGGAGAGGGGCCTACTGGATGAAGAGCAGACGATGGGGGAAGAACGAGTGATCCACGGAGCAGGTCAGCAGGCGGACACTCCACGGCATAGCTAAGGGAGGGGACGGGGAGGAGAAGTTAGGGCAGTAGGTAAGAGCCAGAGCAGGCAGTCCCTTGTAGGCCATGGTCAATATTTCTAAAATTTTATTCTGAGTGCATTTCAAAGCCCCAGAGAAGTATTAAGCAAGGGAGTGACTGGATCAGAATTAGGAATAAAAATTATTTTGTCTACTGAGAAGGTAATATAGCAAAGGGCAAGCATGGGAGTGGAAAGACCAATTAAGAGTGCGCTGCAGTTGTCGAGCTGAAACAGAATGGCTTAGTGAAGGGGTTCTCAAACTTCAGTGTGCAACATAACCATCTGGAAGGCTTGTAAAAACACGTATTGCTGGGCCCACCCCCAGAGTTTCTGATTCAGAACATCTGGGAGTGGAAGGAGGCCCAAATATTTGCCTTTCTAAGGAGTCCCTGTGTTATGCTGATGGTATTTACTTTGAGAACCACTAGCTTAGAGAGTGTGTTAATAGTGGAGATGTAATGAAATGAGTGGAAACACACACACACACATATATATATGTATATATGTATATGTACATCTGTAATTACATATATATCTTATAGGAAGAATAACATAATTTAGTGATGGGTTCAGTACTGGGATTAAAGGGAAAATAATACTGGGTTTGAAGGAAAAATAAGAGTGAATCCCACGTGTATAGCTTGAGGCCGTTTGGATGCTATAACAAGAGATTAGGGAGACTTCTGGGAATGGGAGGAGAAAAATTGAGAATCCCAGTTGAGTCTTCCCAAATATATGAAAGCCTAAATGAAACGGATATAAATCTGAAGCTCAGAAAAGAGTTTCGGGTCATAGTTATAAAAAAAATAAATGTAAGTTGTTAATCTATAACGGGCCTTGAAATGCATTAGAGAAAGAGAGAGAGAGAAACTGTGATAGCAGAGAACCCAAGGCCTTGAAAAACTTCATAAAAAATGACACAGTTCCAGTCTAACTACTCTAAATAGCACCGAATTTAAAAGATCCTCTTTCATTTTCCTGGCAAGTTGGGCCGACCATAAATACTTGGGACTTTTGTTTTTGTTTACGGAAGCTAGACCAGAGATGTAAGCTTGACTTAGCACTAAACAGGAACATTTCTGATTCTACTTCGTCATGCTGAGAGTGGTATGGCAGGAAGAGCAGACAGGACCACGAATCCTCAGCTGAACCCAGTAATTGATGCTCAGGATAGCATGCACCTTAAAGGTACAAATGGCTGAGCCAGGAACAGGGACAATTTTAGACCCGTTGAAGGGCTGGGTTAATTCGGAGGGTGGCCACTGTGGTAAGTGGCCTTGGAAAGAGGTTACCACGTTAATGCCTTTTATGGGCTCCTTACGAAACTGTAAAGTCCAATTTGAATCACTAAGGGAAGACTAAAATGGAGGTGAATGCAGTGATCAGAGGGCACTCCACCCTTCTCACTGAAGGCCCGGGCCATAGCCCGTAGCCTGTCCAGTGACTGGTATCCTGTCCCTCCAGCATCACCGTGCTCAAGATATTACTTTTACTCTAATAATTCTGATTCACTTAAAAGTTCTGTGAGAGTGAATTTGGGGCAAACTTAGTTTTGTAGGTTTGCTTTCTCCTAGTCAATGAAATAAAATAAAGTATGTCGAGTGACAAGTGTACTTCTCATTTACAGACTTGGGGGTACTCTTTCAATCCCCAGTTAGATCATCTCTAGCAAATGGAATTTCCTGGAGAGCTTTCTCTGTGGTCAGTAATTGCAAATGAGTTTCTTAGCTAAGAAGTCAAGGTTTTAGAGTCTTATAATCCCAGGGCTATAGACCAGACTGCTTGCCATTCTGTACCCGATCCTCTGGAATTTAGATGCCTAGGGGTGCACTGTCTGTTGCAGAATGCACCCTGAGCCCTCACTGGCCGAGTAATAGCTGTAGGCCCTGTCTCCTCTCAGGCTAACACATGACCACATGGTTTGCTACTACAATATTTCTGCACCAACAAGAATTCATCAGAAGGAAATCCTTAAGAGCAAAGCCATTCACTCTCCCACTTAACCACCCCTACAGAAAGAACCCTGATTTATTTTCTCAGGTTTGTACAGTACGATGCAGAGATTCCAGAAAACATTTTTCCCGGCAGAGAAGCAGGCAAAGGGATAATGCAACCCTATCCATTGCTCGTCTGCAGGGTGTCAGAAAGGATGGAGCTCCCGGAGATGCTGGGAGAAACGAGGGGCACGTCCCTGCCCTTGGAGTTCCCAGAATAGGATCAGGGCTCTGTAATTGATAAATTGCATTTA